TATATAGATATATAGATATATACAATTTCAGTCAGCAAATTGTAAAAATACCCATAATCATTTCTAAGAGCCTAACATCACATATTCAAATGTTTATTTTGTCAAAGCAAAAGTAAACGGTTAAGTCCAAAGGTATTCAGCTTACTATCACTTAAGACAAAGGAACTTAGTAAATCCTTACAGTGGAGATGCTGTAACCAGGGAATATTAGGCACTTTAGCTTGTAAAGTAATTCAGTCAGTCTCCAAGTCAATTAATCGACGACTTGTTTCCCATACATTTACTGCGAGAGAACCCCCCAGTATACCCTCAGTCTTCCGACTGACCACTGAAAGGCAATGAACTACTGCATTGTCAATAATCACTTTGTTTATGAAAGTGGCTATGTTATAAATTAGACTGACAGAAAGACAGCTACACATGAGTTTTCATATGCAATGTCAGGCCGTAAATAGCTTGTTTATGTTTTAATTATTATTGTTTTAAACACTGCAACTCATATTTTATGAATGCTGTATTTCTGAGATGAAGCATTGTTTTACAACTGTGTCATCCTAATTTACATAACATCAAACACAGATTAGCAATTTTTGGCACATCTGAAGTATGAAAATATCTCTTTATAGGAACACAGCTTTATTTTCCCTAACAGATTACTTTCTAAAACTAAGTATGCACATGCAAATTTTATATTTCACTTTTTATATTGGATGAATAGATGCTGGAAAAAACAAACGCTTAACATTTTTGTTTGCAAACAGCAATTAAGTAAATGTTTTTATGAATGAAATATATGTGGAAAATAAGTGATACCTTATGCATTACATATTTTCCACATGTATTTTGGCTGGGGGAGATAAACAACAGCAATTAATCATTATTGCTCCCATCTTAAGTGTGGATAAGTGAGTATTTTCCAAAAGACCAGGAAAATTGGTGAGATGTTTTCGTAACAGATGCAAATCTGTCTTTGTCTTTGTGTTACACAAGTTTATCTGTTATTTAAGCTACACTTCGATCTGCAGTGTTACATTTAATCTAACACTTCATACATAAAGTACTCAAGGTAATTCTACATGAGATTAACCTGGTTTTATATAAACACACATTTCATTGCGTCCCTTCAGTCATTTGTATAAATGCTGTAAACATTTGGCTCTTTTTCTACACACAGTTCTATTTCTAATGCATTCTTCCTATCATGTAACCTATTAATGTGAATCCTTGGAATGTAGCTCCTTGCAGATCTGGAAAACAACAAGATGTTCTCTGATGATCTGGAATGCCAAAAGCTGCTGATGGAGGCCATGAAGTACCATCTTCTGCCTGAGAGACGTCCTATGTTTCAGAGCCCAAGAACCAAACCCAGGAAGTCCACTGTGGGTGCACTTTATGCTGTAGGAGGGATGGACGCTACCAAAGGTGTGGCCCATACGCAGCACTTATCAATACACAGCAAGGCTTATTTAAATTTTAACACTTGCTTTGCTTGTGGTTTTAGGCTCCACCACCATAGAGAAGTATGACCTGCGGACCAACACTTGGGTCCAGGTTGGAGTCATGAATGGACGCCGGCTGCAGTTTGGCGTGGCAGTGATAGACAACAAGCTGTATGTGGTTGGAGGGAGGGATGGACTCAAGACATCCAACATGGTGGAGTGCTACAATCCGATCAATAAAGTGTGGTCCACCATGCCCCCCATGTCAACACACAGACATGGACTTGGTGAGTGTGTCTTGTGAGGCAAATGTAGCTCCACAAAAGAAAGTAATGCACTGATAAATAATCTAATAATGCAGACATAATGTCTGTGCTTTGCGTAGACCAATGAGTCACATCAGGACAATGCTGCCAGTCACTTTTTAAAAGTATCAAAATTGAAAAAACTTACAAGGATATTTGGACAGGAAAAGCTAATATGTCAAGATTATTATCATTATTGGTTAGTCTGCCAATAATTTTTTCAATTAAGTCATTAATAGTTTTTTTTATATGTATATTTGTAATAAGTTACAATTGCTTAGAGTCCTACAGTCTAAAACCCAAAGATATATAGTTTACTATCATATGACGTTTTGTACTTTTGCTTGACAAAAAAATTAACTGATTACCAAATATTTGATTAATCAACAACTTTTCTCAGCTCTGTGTGTAATATTTGTTACTATTCTCAAACATCTAATATGACATTATGTGTATTTTTCTAAACTTATTATGTTTTCAGAGGATGTTGATAATAAAATGCAATTATTTCAACAATTTCAAGGTTTGAGGTTTTAGCTCAGTCTGGCTACCTGGTGTTATTTAACACCAAAAATCACAGGATGCACAGCTGGCATGCTGTAAAAAAATCACACATTTCTTTTTGAGATAGACCTTTGATATTTACCCATTCCCCTATCAAAGCTTGACAGGCTGTGCTGGCCCTGCTCTTCCTTACCCTTCCCTGCCCAATAAATTTCATATCAGAAGCGTTTTGATTCACAGTTGAAACAGGCCTGGGTAACAGTACAGGGAGATCTTGTCAAAGCATTCAGTTCACTCACCCCGTGTGGTCGGAGGTATCAGCGAGCCCAGGAGATCACACTGTAGAGATTACCTGCTTCATCTTTGATCTTTCCTGTAGCAAATATCTCTCGCTGCTTTGCTTGTGGCGTGCATATTTCGTAGTCTGAATATATTTGAGCTTTAGCGTCTATCAACATCCCTGCCCAGCCATTGCCTGCTGTGTGCATTATGGGTAAAGACAAGAAAAAGTATTTCTTTTTCATTTCAAAACCACCAGTTAGTAATAAAACAGAGTTTCACTACAAGAATCGTCTCTGTCCCATAGTGTCTATGTCATTCGAGGTTCTCTGAATGTGGTCTTGCCCTCATGTTCCCCCAGGTCTCACCAAAGGAAATAAGGCTGGTATTATAAAAATCCATTGTGTTAAAACATCCTCTGCAATGTTACTGGCGAAAACCGCTTTCCCCTGTGACTTTGGAATGAGGAATAACAATGCAGTTTTATAGTCTTCCTGTTTTCTGAATAGATTTGGTCAGCTGTATGACTCACTCTGCCCTGCTCTAAAATGAGAAACGTACCTCTGCCTCGGCTCTCTCGAAGAACTGTCGAAGCAAAGTTTGATTTGGAAATGTCATTTCAATTCTTTTCATTGATTATTCACAAACATTACCTTGTGCTGACATTGTGCTGCATCATTTGAAAAAGAAAGTAATCTTTGTTTCATCAGCCTCAAGGAGGCATTGAATATATTGTGTTGCTTTAGCTTTGATATTTGTGAGAAAGCGTTTAGCACTAGCCCAGTGGTTAAAGGTTATAGATGTTAGAGCATCTATTGTGTGTCCGTACAAAATATGCAGTAATACACGCACAATAGAAATACTATAATCATATAACATGCTGATGATGATCACAGGGGCACTTTGCCTTTTCTTTTCCACGTACAGATAATAATAATACACAAATACAAGGAAGTAGATTTTAAAAGAGCAGGCTTTTTTGCGGTAACGTGTCTCTTGTTTCCATTTGTGTAGGTATTGCTGTGCTAGAGGGCCCTATGTATGCCGTGGGAGGCCACGACGGCTGGAGCTATCTCAACACAGTGGAACGCTGGGACCCGCAGGCCAGACAGTGGAACTACGTGGCCAGTATGTCGACACCGCGGAGCACCATGGGCGTCACAGCACTCAATGGGAAGTAAGTTGCTTTAATGACCCTACAGACCGTCCCAACTTAATGCTTAAATCTGCAGCCTTACACTCTGAGGCAAAGTATATTATTGTTTTTCTGCGACTTTGAAATGTCATGGTGCTTGAGGTCGAGGTCACTGGCATCCGTAAAGCCACAAAAGACACTGAGGAGGCAGAGAAGCAATTTACAGTAAAAAAGGAATGCCAGTGTTAACACGTAATTTTGAAAGGGCCCTGTCTGCCTTAAATATAAGTTTGCTTTTAAAGTGTTGAAAAGCTGAATATTGCAGTGTAAAAATGACCACACAAAATAATCTTATTTATAGACTTGAAGTATGGACATTATGTCTGTTTTTAGTTTTGCTGAAGATAAGTCATCTGTTGTTTTTGTGTAAAAATATTTATGTCCTCCATTAAATATACTGAAGGTTTTGCAGATGTACTGAAATGAATAAACAGAAAATTCAAACACTGCAGCATGTTTTGCAGTGGAAAATGGTCAGCAGTAATATAATAGGCTACATAACTTGAAATAGAGCATGCAATAACACAGGCATGGTTATATAACTCAGAGCACTGGTCCAGGAAAAGCTGAAGTGTAGTATTAGTGCAGTAATAGTTTGACAACATTATACTTGAATGTTGAATCAACCTTTGTGGTCTGTGTGGGTTAAACTACAGCTGTGAAGTAGTCAGTGGTGCTCATTAGTGTGGTAATTTATACAGTGCAATCTAGACTCTATTAAAGCAGAACACTTTATGTATTTGTATGTATTAAATGTCTTACAACACTATTTGAAAGTAAATTAAGCAAAGAACCGACTGGCTCTCAGCCTAATTTAAATATGTTTGTATGCCGAAGGAGGAGGCTGCTGCTCGGCTACATCCAGTATTCAGTGTTAAAGTCGATACCGAGTTATTTCTGCATCTAGGTCAAAAATAGACAACAAGGAAACTGTTTCCCTAGCCTCTACTGTCTTGCTCTCGGGCCTGTGAGTGTTAAAACACTGATGTGATCTTTGTAGGAAAGAACACTCTCAAGGAAAGTACCTTTGAAACATCCTATCCACTGCTCACTGCTGTATCTTATAAAACCTGTCACATTATCACTGTTCTGTCATCATTTTTACAAACATCTGACAGCTGATGTGAGCTTCTCCTGTCAGCTCCAGTGTTGAGATCAGATGTCTGAGATTTTGAACCCATTTTGTTAAATTCTTTTCAGATTGTTTGCAGTAGGTGGTCGAGACGGCAGCTCGTGTCTGAGGTCAATGGAGTGCTTCGATCCGCACACCAACAAGTGGAGCATGTGTGCTCCCATGGCCAAGAGGCGAGGGGGAGTGGGTGTGGCGACATACAACAACTTCCTGTATGCTGTAGGTGGACACGACGCCCCCGCCTCCAACCACTGTTCTAGACTCTCCGATTGTGTCGAGAGGTAAATGTTTCGTCTGGGGAGAAAACACACAAACACATAAAAGTTGCGTAACTGGATTTAGATTGCAGTTGATGTGAATCAGTCCTGGGTGGGTGTGGGACGTTCAAATAAGAACAAAGGGGAGTTCAACTTCACTTGATCCCCACCCTGTTCCTGCATTTTGAGACATGTCTGTGTTATACTACCAGATACAAGATCATAGTTTCCCCACATGGTTTTATTTTATAGTATCTAGCACCATCTGGTGGCCTAATATCCTCCTGAATCTGAACCTGATGTGATTCACAATAGAGCCCCTTCAGTTGTAACTCACTGCCAGAATGCCTTTTCCCATTCTTGATAAATTGCCTGTTTTTTTATGTACTTCCTATCATTTGTGTATTTAAATTTATGATTGCTGTTGCAACCTACAATTTTCCATACAACCAGTATCATTATATTGTAAGTGGTGTTAATAGAAGGTTACCCTACAGATAAATTTGTTTGTAGGATGGAAACAGGGTTGCTATATTCCCATGTGTTTCATTTGAACAATTGAATTTGATCAATTTACTTTCCCAGATGATTAATGTAAACATATGTATTCCTTTTGTGCTGTCTAATTTCTACATATTTTCTCGGTTTAGTCAATATGATTTTACACCCTGTAAAGCATTCTTAATCATTTTTATTAAGCTTTTTATAGTTGCTTCTTCTCACATAAGCCCAGTTTTAGCCTTCTTGTATTAGTTACCAATTTCTTTTAAATTCCATTTACTTACTCACTGGACTTACAAGGCTTTACGTGGCCAGACGCCAGAGTACACTGGTGAGCTCTTAACTCCAGGAGTCCAGGTTAAAGTCAAATAGCGATCGAGCGTTTGCTGTACTGCCACCTCAGCTTTAGCGCTTCCAGTTGGCATTCTGCTGACACTGTTTCTGCTTTTAAATCCTGTCTTAAGACACATTTTTACAGACTACAGCCTCTCCACATGACAACCACCAGATTCACACAACCACCCTATTTTCAGTTTTTATTTGAATGGTTCTTTAATACTGTTTATTTACTGGATTATTTATTTGTAAATGTCTTTTATAAGGACATTTAAAAAGTGCTATACAAATAAAATTTGTATTATTATTTATTATATTAATCTAGCAGTTTCTTTCAATTTTAACTTTTAATTTCATCTACTGTTTATATACATAATATTTAACTTTGGGTTACAATATTTGACTTATTTTCCTTTATACTGATATAAAAGTGCATGAAGCAGCCTCAAACCTTGTTAGTACCAGGTGTCAGCAAGACATGACTGAATATTTGGACATTTGACTTACCCATAAATAATTGAAATTAAATCATATAAAACATTTTCATTCAACAACTTCTGCCTTCGCTGATGAGTTTAGCTCTCTCTGAACACCAGCTGCTGTTCAAGAGACAATTTTGCATTAAAGTTTCAATTTTTATGTCTTTGCTGAAAGGCGTTGCTATTAGCAAGCATTCAGACATCAGTAATAAAAGAAAGCAAACGTTAAGATGTCTGAGTTAGTGGGGATGGTATACTGTTTTCTTCCTGAATTAGGCTGATTACACGAATTATTTTTTACAAAAAGAAAAACAAATGTTTCACAATACCAACCATCATGCAAAAAATACAATCATTTGTGCAAATATCGCAATTGCAGGTATGACCCAAAGACGGACACGTGGACCACTGTGTCCTCCCTCAGTGTTCCCCGGGACGCGGTGGGTGTTTGCCTACTGGGTGACAGGCTCTATGCTGTGGGTGGATATGACGGCCAGTCTTATCTGAACACTGTCGAGTCCTACGATGCACAGAACAATGAGTGGACTGAGGTAATCAAACCAAAACAAATTCATCATGGCAACACAAAGTTTAAATATTCTATTCTTTTTGTTTTACATATACAAATAAATATGATGATGAGAACTTTTGATTACTTTGCTTACTTTTGCCAGAATTTATTACATGTAACATCAGGGTTCCAGTTAACACCCTTCAGGAGCATAAATCTGCTGGAGTCACTGAATATTATCAATATTTTTATATCTTTTTTTGCAATAAGTTTTTCCAATTTTACCTCTGTAACCCTCTTATCTGCATGAAGTAAAATGGGATTTTTTGAAGACAGCCAGAGATGAAAAGCTGCATGTTAACCTCTCCGTCTTTCTGTAGGAGGTCCCTCTCAACATTGGCAGGGCAGGCGCCTGCGTGGTGGTGGTGAAATTGCCTTGAGCGTTTTGTCTCACGACAGCATGGGAAACAAATGAGAGAGCAGCAAAGAAAAGTGGACAAACAAAACAAGAGATCAAGAACACATCCTTCGAGAATCATGTTTTCATTTTTTTTCTCCTTTAACTCGGCTCTCCAGATTTTTCAGAGGGAAACACAGACAGAGCCTTGCCCATAAACCATTGTTTCTATCATTAGTGGACATGTCTGCCCACTGGGGAGGACTGCTGCGCATTCTCCACATTCTCAAGCGATCAAGATTTTTCATAGACTTGGCTAAGCTGTAGCAAGAGCCAAGGCTTTGTTGTACTGGTTTGTTATACTAGTTTTATGAAAAGTTCTGTGTATGTCCGTAAGATTAAATGTAAAAGTTACATTTTGAGTAAATAAGCCTGCAGGTTAGTTTACATCTATACAGAGACTTTTCTTATCAGTGCCATCGCATACAGTATATTTTTGGGTTTATATTTCACTTTATAGCCACTCAAATGAAAATTGTTAAGATACAAAAATGTAACCACATACCAGTGTCTTCCCTTAGCGGGTGGTCTGAACAGATTCATGCTCTTTAATGAAGAAGACCACTGTGAACACTGAGGGTGATGAAGTTTTTGCAGGGTGGTTTTAAGAAGAACAGGAATGAAATGAGACTTTTTGCTGAATAATATATTTGGACTTTCTTTCAGTTCATTTTCTTTTATTGAGCCTGTAGCTACAGAACACCAAAGTCATTTGCTTGTCTTAGAAGTCTTGTTACGCATTAAATAAAAGTTTACAAAATTGTGAATTACAGAAAATATATCATATTGATATTTCACATTGCTGTACAGTTTTTCGTGAACTTTATGAATCTACATTTGTGTTGATGAATCATGCCTAAACCAGTGCTCTCTGGTACAGTTATTATTATTTTGTCTTTACTTCTGGGCATGCTAGCTGAGCGATTGTTTTACTTGGTTTATACAATTATCAAAATCACTGTCTGTTCTCGTATTTTTAAGGATATGATGCCTTTTGGGTCATGTAGATGATCTTATCGTTCACGACACAACCATTGGATAAACCCAGAAGAAAAAGCAAACTATGGCTTAGTGGGACCAGGTGCACACAAAGCAGCTATCTGAGTCTACGAGAGAATTTCAAGCACTGTTTCACGTGTAGCACTCTGAAACCTGATTTCCACAGCACCTCACTAATGTGACTTTGATTAGAATTTTTAGCTTTGAAGTTGGTTCTGCTCATAAAAGTAAAACCCTTATCATGACGAGAACAATTTGTAACTGTAATTATATCATGTTTTTGGGGCCAAATGTTCATTTTTATGCTTTTATCATACTTTTGTACAGCATGCAAACTAAATAAAATAACTTCAGTCCTCTGCATGTTCAAATCCATGTTTAGAGCTGAATGTGGCCCCTCAGCGGGCAGATTTTGATTTCTCTTGTTCTGCTTTGAGTAAACTAAACTCATTCTTTGACTAAACAGACTTGGAACCTACTTTGATGTCAACATTGACCTCATTTTCTTCTCATTGCAGACCCCGCTTTTTAAATCAAGCAAGCATGTTTGCTTGATTTATATCACTCTGATATCACTGTGGTTTTCTTTTCAATCTCTCCTTAACAGACTGAGGACCAACTGCGACTGCTTGCCTTTGTTTTTTTCATTGTTTACCTTCCAAATAGTTTAAACTCTCCTCTTGCTTGTTTGGTTAGATTTGGATGGGTTTTGGCAGACAAAATTCTGGCTTATGTGTCCACGTGTAGGTTGTTTCAGGATACAAAAATATTAGACATACCTTTATCTTTTTGATTTTGAGGTATAACCCTTTTGGCACAAACCCCATCTCAGTCGATGTAAAGATAAATCTCGTTCTCTAACTTTCTATTTCTGTTTATCTGCACCTCCTGTCAGATATTATAATGGAAATCAATAAAGGATAATAGCTTTCACCTAAGTTCACCTCTTCAGAGTATAATATTACTGAAGCCCCACCGTGCAGAATACTTATCTCAATATATATCTGTCCAGTTAATTCAAAAGCATAGTTTAATGGCGGTAGAAACACAAGACCATAATGATGAAAATAGCTTTATTCGATTTGTCCCTGCATTGGATATGACTGGTACAAATGTGCAATTTTTTTCAATCTTTTCGGTTCCTGTCTGTTATATTCTTCTCCTGTGGGTTGGCTCAGTATTGCTTAATCTGAAATTCCACATCTGTTAGACTAAACCGATATTCCCCACAGTCTCGTTGCCACCCATAGGTTTGCAATCACGGTTTAAAACACAGTGATCTCAACACTGAGAAAGTCAGCTTCACGTGGTAAGAGCATGATGCAATACAGTACCTCAAAGTCGTCAGGTTTCCATGTCTGATTCTGGTTTAAAGGGCCCATGAAAAATGGGTTTTATCTTGTGAATATTATCATAATATTTAACAGAGCCAAATAGAGACAGAACAGAGACAAATAAAGAAACCATTAAGATACATGGATACACTTTCACAAGAGTGATTTAACTGCTAAATGTTTTGTAAGATGGTACAGCACTGACCTAACTCAAAGCTGCTTTGTTTTAGCTGAAGTGGGACAACTCTGATATAGAAATCCTATTATGATTATCCTTGGAATCTTATTATTTAACCCTGAGGTATTTAACATAAAATCACTCAAATTAAAATGTATTACTTTAAAAGAGGATCATCAGTTCCTTTTCACATTTAATCCCAAGAATTGAGTGTGTTGTATAAAAAAATTTCCCTATCCGTTTCAATGATAAATGATATACTGAGATTATCACCCCACTAATCAAATTATGCCATCACAACAAAAAGAAATCTAATTTCACACCTTACAGAGCTACTCTAAAAATAATGAATAAGAGAATAATTAGTAAGTGACAATTAGTAATTAGCCAGATCAGCCATCTATGGGCTGGAAGAGTCTATAGCATTTTCATTCTGTATTGTTTTTCCCATCTATTCAATGGTTGTTTCTTCTACAGAGCAGCATGGATTAAATATAATACATAAGCTTAGTAATAGTATTCTTCTTTCTTTTTAGTTTACAGATGTTTGGAGTATGATTTAAGTTTTGTTTCGCATTTATTCTAATTATTATCCACCCAAGATCTTCCACTTTGTCAGTGTTTTGAGTTATTTTGTAAAAAGAAAAAAAGATGAGGTGAAAATGAAACAACAAAGCATGGTTTACATTCTGTACTACCTTGTCATTTGCAAGTGCCTTTATCATTCAAGTGTTAAAAAATGTAATGAAAGAACAGTATTATGTTTTTGTGGTTCCAACACTCAAAGTTTCATGTTTCCTGTTCTGAATGAATTAGAATAAAATCCAGTGTTCCTTATTGATTTCCCTTTTTAAAGCCAGGAACATTACAAAGGAAGATGGAGACAAAGAGAAGCAGATGATGAATAAAATGGGGTTCAAGCTTTAAGACAAATGAGATTTGGATTTTGTGCATTCAGGGTAGATCAAACTAATACAGGAGGTGGGAATGGGATAAGGGCATTGGTCCCAAAAATAATTTACAATGTCAACTGCTAATTATTTGTAATAAAGGTATGCAAACAATGTATTTAAACATGCATCCATCCATTTTGATTCATCTTAGCAGTTTGGGTTTTCACCAGAACCATGCGCTTGCATAGTGTATGCTGGATTCATGGTGATGTAATAATTTCATAAATTATCAAGAGAGGGTGCTGTTGCACTGCAGAGAACAAACCAAACCATACTTACCACCGCCAATGGCAAATCAAAGATCTCCAATACCATTACTGTTCATAATAAATGTCAACCGGCATTAAGAATGCCAAGGACAAATACTTGAGCTAATAACCCTGCATAATTATTGAGACACGATGATGAAATGTTGGGAAATTGAATGTTAAGGCGTCTCCTTGTCTTACTTTGCAATGAGCGTCTTGCTGAGTTTTAAGAGCATGAAGCCTATGGAGATGAGTTCTGACTTGAGAGATGATTTGTCAGGTTTTAAAGGGATTTTGGCATCACAAAAGTTTGAACAATCTTTCATAATTGTGTGACAAATGTAGACAGATTGTTCTATTTTTGAGCTCTGCTCCCAGCCTTTTTTCAATGTTTTTTTAGGAGTGAGGGAGCAGCTCTCCCTCGTATTTTATTCATTTTTTTTTGTGTGTGACAGTGAACAGAGAGATGGAAAGTGATGTGAGAAAGATGCAACAGCACAGCATGGGTTGCGAACATTGTACTATATTGATTGTAGGTTGTGAAGACATACCGTATGTTTACCAGGTTGCTTTCTTATATCATACATATTTTTGGATTTAGGAGGAATGAAAGTTTTCACAAATTACAAATCACTGCATTACAAAGATAACATGTTACAGGCACAGAATTTTGGATTCTGCCAAACACATTTCTTCTGCCAGATAAATGATAACGCTGCATAATTGTTTGCTGTCAAAATACTGTCTCAGAAGTGCAGTACAAATCAGTTGGCCTAATGCGTGCTGAAGAATGCCTGAAAAAAGGGATTTTGATGGTTTATTTGTCAAAACACAGTGTTCTAAGAAAGACTGAGAATAAAAAAGAAAAAAAAAAGCATGTGAGGGATCATCTTCACTACGGGGACAAAAGACAAGATGGATCCTTCTACAAGTGCCACAACAAACTGTCAACTTAGAATAAGATTGTCTCGTCAAGCCTGCTTAAATAAGCCTGTTAACATGGCACTTTTGACATCTAGCATTTGTGTCAGACAAAATGTTGTGTCTTCCCCTCCCAGGTGATGACAAATTGATTTTACACTGCAACAATTTTTTGTCGAGTGACTGACTTCTGAGAGAGACACACATTTAACATATCACACAGGTAGCAGGACATGTCTAACCACAGAGGTGTGTTCCTGTTCAAGCTAACAATCCACGTGAACTGGGAAAAAATCCCCTGCTTCAGGAACTACTCCACAAACTACAGCCTTCAAGTGACACTGCCGGTGATAAAGTAGTTAGATGAGCTTTCATGAGTCCAGTGCTGATACAAAGAATGACAGTTGCTTTTCTCGTCTGATCAAAGGCTGTAGACAAGTGCTGTAGAATGATTCTCCCTCCATCCTCCCCCCCAAAACACTGTCTCTGTCTAATGATAGTTGAATACATTGTCATCTCATTATCTTTGAAGAGGGGAAAGATCCCTCCCATATGAGTGGGCACTGTGTCTCTTGCCATCAGACGGGCCCTAAGATTGGTGAAGCGCATTCTTGTCTCATTATGTTGAGTGAGAGATATCAGACACTTCCCATCTGCCTAACGCCTTCCACACACATGCCACCATGCCTCAGCCATACAAGCTGGTACAGAAATACTGCGAGTAGTTTATCTGTAATTCTATAACTCAGATTGTTATTCTGAGTAGTTTTGGACACTGATATTAACTAAATCACTTCAGCATGGTTTATCACTGTTGGTATTAAGAGAATAGAGTTACTCTTAATTGGATGAGTACATGCAGGGCTGTTTTTTTTTTTTCAGTGGTAACCATCAAAGAGCCTCCGACTCGTTGCATATGCGTCTAGTCTGCATCTCTTATGATCATTAATATTGCAGCATATCGTGTAGTTTATTTCTTAATGGTTTTAAACTAGTACACAAAACCCATTTACCCCCCCGGCAACTCTCTGCAAGGCTTTTTCTGGTTCCTTCTGACAAATGGAAAGAGAACAAAATCTGCAGTCCCTCCCAATTCTCCAATTTGCAAACCCTCTCTGGGGTAAAGAAACAGCACAGGAAAAAATCTGAACACATTACAGAATCACAGTCTGTTGCAACAGCACCACAAATTGTAACCTCAAAAAATGATAATAGATGAATATGATTAGCTTCATATACAGTGACTATTAATTTAGACATACAATACAATTACATCCAGGGATACTTGTGGTACTTGTGTGGCTTCTCTAATATGAATGAATAGTGCTCAAAGCCAACAACCAACAATAAATTGTGACAGAAATGCCAAATTGGTCCCAGTTTCTCTTGACTGGCTTCAACAGATGTCATGGGCCGATTGCCAAAACATCTTATCGTGGACACAGTACAGTGAAACCACAACACTGATCTACATGATGGATGTCAGATCAAAATGAATCCAGCCATGGTTTTACCAGCTTTGAATTCATGCATGGGGAAGCCTGTCAGGGGCGAGAGATGATGTGGACACTGGCTCTCACTGTTTGTCAAGATTTTACATCCCTCCCCCTCGCTACTCGTTTGAAGCTAGTCATCTGCTGTCTAGCAGCTTGCTGCCAATACGCCTGAGAATCTAGATTCAACATTTGTGGACTTCCTACAGGAATGAACGCAATTAGACTGTTTTGTGGGTGTAAAGCATCCCTTTGCATACAACACGCAATCTATCATTTTAATGGGCCTCAACTTTCCCAGGAAACACGCTTTATTTGGTAACTACACTTGTCTATTCCTTATGTTATGTGTCTAATTCAGACAGTAAACTAGTGACCCATCAATAACACTTTTTTTCCCGCAGCAGTTTTTCCTCTTTAGAAGACTGGGTGGAATAAAGAAATACAGAACTAAGAGAAGACTTTTGAAAGTTGAGCATCAAATGATGTTTTGACATCAAATGGAATAATGAGGAAGCATGAAAACCTGAAAAAGATCCCCTACGCAAACAGCCCAATTCTTCAAATGAGATCTGTTGTTTGTTTTCTGACTGATACAGCTGTGATGAAGTTGGTCTCAACTTACTTTCTAAGCCTTTACAGCATCCATAATTCAGACAACATCATGTCCACTTCAATAACACAAGCTCTAGCTCCATGAAGGACACACACAATATACATTTTATTACCTCTTTTTTCAGATAAATCTTTACAATGGGAGGAAAAAAGAAATCTAGTGTTGCTTCTGTGCCACTATTGTGTCAGCTACGCCTCTTACCACACATGATTTTTCTCTCCACACATTACTGCTGCCCCTGCCATGCCCGCTTACGAATTGCCTCCAGAACTAAATCACTTCCTTTGTCAGACATGACTGCCTTTCTTTCCCACACCCATTGCTTACTGCTATTGTTAGTGAAGATGAACAGCCCACGACAATTAAAGGTGTGGACCATTACTTCCGTTGGAAGGAAGGTTAGGCCTCATGCTTTACAGCCTGAGGGAGAACACCACCGTATCTACATCTGTCATCCAGAGCCATAATGGAGAGCCTTGGAATGGATGAAGAGCCAGCAAATGTCCACTGCTCTGCATGCTTTGGGTCAGGGTTATAAAGACATGTCAGAGGCCTGAAGGATGCAGGATGAGAATATTAAGGAAATATAGTGGGACATTAGAGAAATCTGGTCAACTGCAAACACAACACAGTGGAAATTTCCAGGGCACACTAAAGCCAGTAAATATGTCCACTACTTATAAATGGTTGAGAAAAAAATTAAACATTTGCTATAGCTAACAATGTTAATTTTAGATTTATTATTCTGACATTACTGGAGATCATTGTTTAAGTTTGTTTTGTAACTGTCAAGTCCCATGTCCCAGTTCTAAGTCAAGAGCGACAGCAGAGCGTCTCCACATTGAGTGAGCACCAGGCATTGATATGAGTGGTGTCGTTGACTATTGTCATATACGGTTTGCACAGGTAATAGTAATATAAAGGGAGTTTTCCGGTGGCAAAATACTAAACAGTTTAAACACTTGTTAACATTATATATGTGTGTTGGTTGCCAATAACACTGTGGATTTGAGTTTACATGCAAGGCTGAGACATATGCATGTGCTGGAAGCATTAACAATCACCATTAGTGGCTAGAGTTAAGTGTTAAAGATTATCATGGGTGAAGAGCAATTCACACTGTTAAGGGTTGGCATAAATGGTCATTTTCAGTCCTGTAATGTATGTTAAAGTGGGCCAACCACGTGGTAGTTCACTGTTATTTAATAGCTTTTGCTGAGACCTATAAACTGTTTTGTTTTAGACTGTTTATGTTAAGAGCATTACTGCTTGTTGACAGTAAGCTAGTTAAACGTGTCAGCCTGTAAATGTACCACAAGAGGGGGTCTCTCATGAACATGGTAAAACAATCCCTTTTGAAGGCAGCGACGTATGACTCGCAGGAGGCAGGCTGTTGGTATAAGCCTGCCATAGGCTGACTATTTTAGTCGACATTCTCCGCCCCTTTAGCTGTCTGCGTGTTGTCTTTTTCAAAGTCCCCATGGCTGTGTGAAACAACAGCATCCTCGGAACTATCAATGTACCTGCTGAAAATGGCGAGACCTCTCTCCAGCTCTGAAGCGCTAAAAGAAAGTGTGGAGACATCTGACTTGCCTGTAGAGAAAAATTAACTATTTGAGTAAATAAGACAGGAATGCTGGAAAAAATAGAATTAAATTAAATTGTTTCATAACCAATTAAAAACTCCTTGTAGTAGGTTTTTTTGTACTTTTGTACAATCAAGAATGAAGAACATATTTATTGTCATTTATGTTTTTCACAGGTAACTCCTATAATTAAATGTGTTGCACAAGTCTGGACCAACTGTTTCAGCAGCGGCACGTTACTTAACTGAATG